CACACACACACACACACACACACACACACACACACACACACACCTACCTCTAACTTACCCTCTTCCTCACTCTTTCCTAAGCCAATTCAGCACACCTTCTCCACTTTTATCAGTGGCTCAGTAGCACCACTATTTTTCCAGTCTTTCATTTGGCTTTTCCACTCCTTTATTCCCAATACCTTGTCTGTTTTCATGGACTTTTAAAGCCTTCCAAAGGGCCCGCCCTGTCTACGTCTGTAATCTAGTCCATAGTTTATAAAAACTTTATAAGCTGTACAATGTGACACAAGTAAAATACCAATGTCATGCCAAGATTTCTGAAATAGACTCTGGCTTGGTTACTTTTAAAAATAGTCTGTAATAAATATAAATAAATTAGCATTTGTCTGGAACTTTTCAAATAACATTTATCATACTTATTGTGATTGGTAAAATAAACATTCACTGTAGAAGTTTAGGAAAATACAGAAAATCACAAAGAAGTTAAAAATAACTCCTTAAAGCAATTTGGATTAACATTTTTGTGTGTTTTTATCTACTGTTTTCCGTGTATATAATAATCTTTGAAACTATAAAACAAATACTGTGATTGGACTGTATTTATATACCTCTTTGTAGCTTTTTCATTTTAAATATGTATATACATACATACATATATATATATTTTTTCTTTTTCTTTTTCTTTTTCTTTTTTTTGAGTCAGAGTCTCAGTCTGTTGCCCAGGCTGCTGGGCTTAGGAGATCCTTTTGCCTCAGCCTTCCAAGTAGCCGGAAATACAGGTGTGTGCTAGCATGTGCAGCTAATTTTTATTTTATTGTAGAGACGAGGTCTCACTAAGTTGCCCATGTTGGTCTTGAACCCGCGGGCTCAGACAATCCACAAACCTCAGCTTCCCAAAGTGCTGAGATTATAGGTGTGAGCCACCATGTCCAGCCATATTCATTTTTTAAATTGTGGTTAAAAAAAAAATTTACCATCTTAAACGTTTTGAAGTGTACAGTACAGTAGTGTTAATATTATTTTGCAGCAGATCTTGAGAACTTTTTCACCTTGCAAAACTAAAACTTTATACCCATTGAACTCCCGATGTCCTTCTCCTCTCAGCCATTGGCAAATACCATTCTACTTTCTGTTTCTTAGAGTTTGCTTTAGATACTTCCTATGAAGGAAAACATGCAGTATTTGCCTTTTGTGGTCTGTGCTCATTTTTAAGATTTTTTGGTATCTAGTGCTAAACTAGTCTCCAGAAATGTTGCAGCTATGTACACTTTGACTTGAAGAGTATGAGTGTCCATCTGGACTATGAGTTCACTGTTTGCTTTCTGTATTCTTTTTTTTTTTTTGAGTTGGAGTTTCACTCCATCGCCCAGGCTGGAGGACAGTAGCACACTCACCGTCACCCCAGCATCGACCTACTAAGCTCCGGCGATCTGTCTGCCTCAGCCTTCCAAGTAGCCGGAACTACAGGCGTGCGCTACCCACGCCTGGCTAATTTTTGATTTTATTGAAGAGACGAGGTCTCACCAAGTTGCCTGGGCTCCCAAAGTGCTGGGATTACAGGCTGAGCCACTGAGCCCGGCCTACTGTAATTGTTTCAATTCTTGCCAAGTTTGATAAAGAAACAAATAGTGGGCCTGAACGTATTTTCCTTGAATGGGTCATTGTCCTGTAAATCCTGGCTGAAATACTTGCTCTGGCATTTACTAGCTGTGTGATCTTGGACAAGTCACTTAACTTTTTAGTTTCTGTTTCCTTATCTGTAAAATCAGGATAATAGTAGTTTATTACTATACATGTCTATATTATACATACTTACCATAAGAAATAAATAAGTTAATAAATATGAAGCAAAAAAAAAAATGTGAGGCTCTAAGAACAATGCCTGGAATATAGTAAGCCTAAAAGACAGGTGTAGCTATTGTTGTTGTTATTATTATTGTTATTTTTTGGTCTATTCTTGCTAATCTATTAAATGTAAAATGATAGCCAACTGTTTTAATTTCCATCTCCTCCATACTCAGTAGAACTTGTATGTTTTTGTGTTTGTACTGGCTATTTGCACTTCTGTCAAGATTTCCTTTCTTCTGTGAGTCGGAGTCTGATTCTGTCGCCCAGGCTGGAGAGCAGTGGCACACTCACGGCCACCGCAGCCTCCACTTGCTGGACTCAGGCGATCCTTCCACCCCAGCCTCCCGAGTAGCTGGGACTAACGGTGCGCCACCACGCCCAGCTAATTTTTTGATTTATTGTAGAGATGAGGTCTCACCAGTTCCCCAGGCTGGTCTCGAACACATGGGCTCAAGCAATCTTCTCGCCTCTGCCTCTCAAAGTGCCGGGATTACACGCGTGAGTCACCGCGCCCGGCTAAGACTTCCTTTTTCAAAGCACTGTGACAAACAGGGTCTCACTTGATCCCCCAAATACATTCGTGAATTAACAGGATGGCAATCACCAATCCCCACTTTTCGAATTAAAAAATTGAGAGTCAGAATTTCAATCCTGAGCCCTTCCACCGGGATTCAGGAAACACTATTCAAAACCTAGCAAATGCTCCAGAAAACATTCCCGGGGAAAGCTTTTGTTAGTCGTAACCACGCCCCATCACCTCACCCTAGACCCACTCAGTCGCGAGCCCGCCCTCAGGCCCCGCCCCCAGACCCCGCCCTCAGGCCCCGCCCCCAGACCCCGCCCTCAATGCGGGATTTCCATCCATCCTCTCTGCGCACGCGCGGCCCTTCCTTCAGGCGGAAGCCTCCCGGCGCACGGCCCCGCCCCGGCCCCGCCCAATTTGTGGGGCGTGGGCTCGGAATTGCAGGTCCCGCAGTGGGGCAAAGGCAAAGATATCCCCCCCGCGTGGGGCATTGTCTGCAACGCGGCGGAGGCTCCAAAGTCCCGCGATCCGGTAGGGAAAGGCACCGACTCCTGAGCCTCTCGGTCGACAGCTCCCGCTGCGCGCCGCCATTTTGCTCCGGGAGAGGGAGGAGGGCGGGAGGTGGGAGCCGTCCCTTGGGGCCGGGCGGGCCGGGGCGG